CTTTCGTGATGTTCCTTAAGGGCATGGCTCATATATCTTAGAAGGACATGCAATGTTTGATTCATGTAGCTAATATGAGGGAGATTTTTTTGACGTGTAATTTGTAATAAGTATGTCTATGTATAAATGTTCTTGAGTTGTAAATCATCCTATATATATATTTGCTAAGTTTTGGGACTCCATACGTACGCTTAAACTTTTTCTGTATAAAGTTGTGGGTTCTGCGCTATTTTACCCAGAATTTGAGGGGGATCTTATTAGCAATGACTTGCAAAATAATATGGTTTCTTACAAGATTTAGTAACATACTGTTCTATGTACACACACACAGATATGTAGATATATGCTTGTTTGCGAGGGGAAAATTAAGAACGATAAACTTGAACCGTTTCAGAATGTTTCGTTATTAAACACACACAGACACAAAGATATAGTTCGTACGGGGTGATAATGGAGTTAGATAACACTAATTAGGGGTGTGAGTGAGTCAAGCAATTCAGGACCTCATGCGCATACCTGATTGGGAGAAGAAATTAGGACGTGCTTAACCCTTCTTTTTTAATAATATGAAATGGGTTTTATACAGTTATCTAATATTTAATATTATGGAATTTGATATTTACAAAATTCAAGTTATTGATCTTATTTAAAGAGAAAATCAAGTCTTCTTTTACTCAACTCTACCAAAAAAAATTTTTTTTTGGTAGTACCTAGATAAAATAGTCATGAAAATATAACTTACTTTTTAAAAAGGTTAATATAATCTTTCGTCATTCAAATTTACTTTCATTTTGATTTTGGTCCCTCAAGTTTCAAATCATAGATTTTCGTTCCTCAATAAACAAATTGGTACATGTTTTTATTATATTACAGGGACCAATTTTATAAATAAAAAGAAAGTTGATGAATCAAAATCTATAATTTAAAACTTAAGATACCAAAATTAAAATGGGACTGAAAATTGTACTAATCTTTTTTAAAATTAATAATCGACAGATATGAATGATATTGTTTCAATGCACTGCATGCACATATACAGACACTCACACAGCTTCTGGCAATCAAAGGCAAGAAATTGCGGAGAAGCTTCGTCGAGTAGCTTGGCGTTCAACACATTAATCGCTCCTTTAATTTCTCACAAAAGAATCATAAAAAACTTCAAATTTCATGCAGAACCTAACATCGACTTGAACAAAAGATATCCAATTTCGTCATCCTTCTTGGAGTTGATGATGATAAGAAAGCATCCAAATCGACATATGACTGATTAAAACTGGCATTGACGCGGTGTATTGTACGGGTTTGAACATTTATTAAGAGAGAATTATAATACGGTCCCGTGTAAAAAAAAAATTACAAAACAAGTCCCAAAAGTTGTTATTCTTTACTTTAAAACTTGTTATTATAGGCTGCTCAGGTTGTTATTGGACCTTTTAGTAGTTATTTATCTTGTATGGAGCTTGATTGTAATTCTTCCATTTATTAATTACTACTTCAGTTTGTTAATATAAAAATTAGTTGACTAATTTAAGTAGATTAAGAAAATTAGCTAAATCAGTTATTTGTAATAAATAGATGTTGTCTTTTTTAAAGTATCATTACTAATCAAGTATATTGGCTAGAACTACTATTATCACAGGACTATCTTAAAAAAACGAATAAATATAAAAAACAAATTATCATGAGTCTTTGATAATGTCACTTATCAGTAGTTATTTTTTATCGAATATCTAGTAAATCTATTAGATGAGAAAGACCTTACGTTGATTAATACTCGTGGTGGATATCACAATCTCACCAGTAGCATTTTCATAGACTAATTTAAAGTTTTTTGTGTTGATAGCTTTTATGTCTCCTCTTGAAACCGACGTATTAGAAGTTTTTTCTGCTGTATAGTAGTGTTAAGCTTCATACATTGTAAAATTATATCTATTTAAACTGTATTGAAAGTAACAGTAACCGAACAAATCACTGTTTCGTTTTGGGAATGGCTTCTAAGCAGTTTTTTAATTGTAATTTACAGAATACAAGAAATTTTTTTTATTATAAATGGAAAAACCTTATCAATCGGTGTGTAAGCCTTCATGCACCCAACTCAGTTATAAATCTCTGTCTATAAGAAAAATAAGAAAACACCATATATTTAAAACTACAAGAAGGCAGAGTAATGAAACTACGAGGAAATTTCGTTGGATGTCTTATGTGGAAAAGGTATTCCATGGATATCAGCATATATACCATCATCTTTTAATCCAGAATCAATCATGAACAGTATAAATATGAATCCGGAAATGTTTTCGTAAGAAATAGTTTGGACGCTTTCATAATATATATCCAAACGTGGAATTAAGATAATGCTAGGCTCTGGCTAGCTTGACATAGAGAGAATTATATGCATGAAATTAAATATTTTTTGTTCAAAAGAAACTAAATAAATTAGTCGCTACGAAACGTGGTTTATCATATGACCCCCTCGAGATTATGATTTATGAGGTACGTGCATGGACACTTCAATGATCGTATCGGACTTAAGCCACTGTTTGGTAAGAAATTATGGAAACTAAAACAAATAAATAATACAGTTTTCTGTTATAAATCCCACTCCATCGATCGATCCATTACTAAAATTCAAATTTAAGATATGCACGTCTCTTCCACCTATCTACGAGGGGCATGCATGAACAAATATACCCACCAAATTAATGATGATTTCCCCCTTCCATATAAATTAAATTAATTTCACTGTGGTGTGATGCGTCGCACGCAACGGTATGGCAAGAATAAACAAAGGAATAGTTAAAGATTGGGAGAATGTAAAATCAAAAACAGCGTCGCAAACAGTGCAAACATGTCCAAGTCTCAAAGCACGTGGACGCTAAAAGTGCTAACAAGGATGCAATTAATCATCAGGTTAGCCGAATGTTTGTTTGTTTGTTTTTTCAATTATTCCGGCTATTAGTTTCATTATTTATTGTTTACGATGGAGCTTTCTTCCATCAAATGTCAATATTATGAAATAATATTTTTTGCCTTTTTTCTCCATCTACGTTAATTATTTGTTCCACTCACTTTCACGCATCATTATTATTATCTGATGTTAAATTTTTCAGTGACAATTCATGATTTACAGGTAATAAGATTAATGTGTCTTATTTTTAAGATTTGTAGTACATGGGACGACCATACTTAAACACTACATATAGCTTTGCCCCTCACTTTTCTGCTTTCATTTTTGCCTTTCACACACCTTTAGCCTCTCATTTTATGAATGGAATATCACGCGGCAAAGTCAACTTTAAGGTCATGATTCCACTTGGAGGTTTTTTTAAAAAGAAATGCTTAAATTATAAATATTTGTGTGTTTATCATCTTGCTTTGGAAAAATTAATGAGAGGAATAAAAAGACTACCCCTTCATTGTTTTGGCCTTTGGGGATTGGGATGTGAAGGCCGTAGCTGAGAAGAGAGAGCAAATCAAGGTGGTGTCATGTCATATATCTGATGCACATTACATTAAATTTACGAAATGAGTGGTATTTTTAATAATTCGTAAATGATATATATGGCTTGTTGACTCTATATCCATAGAGATTCGGTGCAGAGTTTTAAAAAGTGCAAGTAAATCAAGGGAAGGAGTTATAGAACATGGGGTTTCATATGAACATGTGGACAAAGACTAACAAAAGCGATGCATATATTCCCTTGCTATGTGCGAACCGTAACAAACAAAACCACCGCCATCATTAACATATGAAAGCGGATGCCCTCCCGAAGAGGTTATCTTCTGTTCCAAGAAAGAGGATGGGGTGCTACCACGTACCAACACTACTTCTTTTTTTTTTAATTCTGAATTGGTTGAGTTAATTATTCATCATTATTTTCTAAAGTATCTATAGGATATTAAATATGAGAAACACAAAGCATAGGAAGAACAGTGAAATCAACAAAGATACTGTGTGGGGAAAATATCAACCAGATTTCGTACTTGGGATTGAAAAAAGCGGGGATTTCATAGAATGCCATTTGTTTACCAGCAGCAGGAAACCAAATTCTATTTACTCTGCACATAGGGCTTATCATTTAAGGATTCAATCCATCCAACTGTGGCTAACATGTTTGACTAAGGTCCCTATTACGATTAAAAGCTTCAATTCTTTCAATCACTTTAATCTATGTAAAGCAGAAATTGAGATGCAGTTTACTGAAACTCGTAATATCAATTGTCGTTTATCTTGTCTTCCACTTCTGCTTTATCACCTCCTCGTAAGTCATTCTATTCCTACCACATTCATCCAACGCTTTACAGCTCCCTTCCTTCTTTGGATAATTTTAGATGAATCAAAACATAACATAAATATGTTGGATAATTAGGCTTGCTAATGATATGAAACGAGGGGGCCAAAAAGAGAACAAGACATGGAAACTTAGGAATGCCATTCCCAGCAGATGCAATCTCCAATTGATAATTAAAATTTAATTATAAGTTGCTTCTTATGAATAGACCAGGAGCCAATATTTATTATTTTAGACCGTTTGAGTAAAAAAATATTGAGAATTTATGGTCATAAATTCACCAGGCCAGCCCTGAGATCGCCTGAAGAATAACCCAATATCAGTTCAAGCACTCGTTGCTCCGAGAATGACATTATAGTAGCCAAATAAAAGCAACAATAATCAAGCAAAACTTCATCCCAATAGAATGAAAACAAGTTAAATAAATAAATGGACTGCCAGTGCAACAAATAAGTTAATAGATGGATTCGCCCTACAAGGCACAATGAACTTGACCCCATGATTCCAACTGAGGCAAAAAGTGATTAAGGACGCAAGCATAGTGGAAAAACCACAAATCACCCATCAGTTCAATGAAGAATTCAAGAATTTGTGCATCAGCATTATGCGTGATGGTACACAAGGGCACATCACAGAGACCAACTTATGCGAAAATTATAATTAATATGAACTACACCCATAAATATCCAACAATCATTTGCACTGCAGTAAAAGAAAAATGCAAGATAAGGTGGTGATATCATTAAGTCTCAAAGGAGTTTGTGACATAAACAGTCTTGTAACTATCAAAATTAATATATCATAACTAACGCAAGCCAAGGCATTGATTCCAACTTAACACTAACACGAAAACCTCCAAATGAGGCAAAAAAAGAAAAGTTGAAGCACCATTTAGTCTCCCTTTTTCCTGAAAGAGCATCCCTCAGTCAGCCTTGCACGCCCACCCGTGGGCTGGCATAAGACGGTCTGGCAGTTCCCACACACCACAACCGTCTGAGAGTGGCTAAACACAGTGGTTCTGCATCCAAATTCAAACGTCCACAATCAAACTCACATTGCATTTGAATATTAAAAACAGAATTGATAAGAAGAATCTAACTTACATATTGAAGCAACCCTGGCACTTAACATCCTACAAGGTAAAATGGGGAGGCAACACTAATTAGGCAGGCGATTAAAACCAGGACAACTCCAAAAAAAAAAAATAGTGAGATGAAAATAGTAGTAAAGTTGCTGACTTCTCTTTCATATCAGCACGATGCAGAAAAAACAAATTAAAAATCTTTAATAATAAAAATAGCTGTTTCGTACCATGAAAAAGGAGTTTGGCGACTGAACAAGTCGCTTGAGCTTATGCTTTCTCTTCTCCAGCTCAGCTGGAGGGTTTAGTAAGTCAACATCATTTTGAAGAACCTGATCAGTATCACAAAAGGAATCAAGTGATTAAACAGTTAAATACAAAACAATGTAAAAATTCCGGCAATTCCTCGTATTTATAGAGGACTGCAAAATTTTTAAACCAACCCAACAATTAAGAAATAAATTAAAAAAGGAATGCAATACGTCTCATCGTCTGCAACGTATAGAGGGACGACCACATCATAGATAACCATTCAGCCACAACCTAATTCCTCTCTTCCGCTCAACTCAACACGCGAAAAAGGCATAAAAATATAGAAAAAACAATTTTTGTTCCTAATGTTCTACTTGGAAGGTATTATAAAACTATAGCAAGGAATAGATGAGAAACATTAATCAATACACGTACGAGCATGAAAGCGTAATGTAAAAAAAAATCCAGTGAATCAATAATAGATCTGCGAAAAGGAATAAGTCACGAGTATCACTCACCATGTTGGCAGAAAGTTTTCGACTCCGTGGAGCTCAGAAAACCTTAGAAAACCCTCGCTTAGGCTTATCCGGCAGCAGCGGCACGCACCAAAGGACCGGTGAGATAAAGAGAAACCTAGAAGGGTGAGGGCTTATGATGGAGTTTATCTGGCCCGGCTCAAATGCACATGGCTGGGCCTTCAGAAGAATGGTATCTATCTTTGGGCTGAGTGTTCTATAAGAATTAAGAAGTCCGTCTAAACTCATATAATGTTTTTTTATTGTAAAATATGTTGATATTGATATATCCGTCTTAAAAATTCTCTTCCTTGAAAAAAAAAATCATGAATTTTTATATCGAATTGATATTTCCTAACGAAAAAATCGATTTCAGTGTCAGCCTTTAACAACCAATACCCTCTCGTTGTTGTCCAGAAAATAAACAACCCCACTTACTCCAAAAAAGTGATCAAATGCGGTTCTTACTTTTCGGCATCAGATCCATTTTTTTAAGGGAAAAAATAATTGGAGTTTAAAAAATTAATATATTTGGGAGTTTAGATTGCTAATTTACGAAGAATCAAGGGCCTGTTTGTTTTTGTTTTTTGTTTTCTTATTCTCAAAATAATTTTATAAAATTGTTTTTAAGAACAAGTTTTGGAAACAAAAAAAATATTTGGAAAATAATTTTTAAAAAATCAAATTTGAAAAAAAAAATAAAAAATTACACTTTGACAAGTGGTAATTATCACCGGTAGTAATAAGTAGTAGGTAACAGAGAAGAAGAGAAGAATATTTCTCCAATTTTTCAAAACAAAAAAATAAAAAACACAAAAACAAAAACCAAAAAACATGTAAAAGTTGTTTTAGTTTTTCAGTTTTTAAAAACGTTTTTTTGTTTTTTAAAACAATTAACTAAAAATAAAATCCAAACAACTTTTTTGTTTTTCTGTTTTTAAAAACAAAAAATTGTTTTCAAAACAAAAAACCAAACAAGCCCTAGGTTTCTAAGACAGACGTTATAAGCAGCAATACATGGTTTTTAATATTTGCAGTAAAATATATATATTTATATATATATGAATTGAGAGTCTAGGTCTTGTGCTATCACATGAACAAAACTTACATTTACATTTGACCGGAGTTGATTCGGTTCTCCCGTTGAGGCATCATTTGAATATGCTTATTTAAGTGTTTATAAACACATGTTATGTAAGCACAAAACTGTTTGTTTTCCCTTAACCGGTCACCTAACCTCAAAAGACCATACTACATTTTGAAATAAAATCGAACTCGAATATTAAAAATAATATTTTAAAAAGTCTGTAAGACATCAATGTGATAGGATACTGCTTAAGATTTTTGTCCTGTCAGGAGTATATTAGCCACATAATAACAGATGGTCCATATAGCCTTCCACAAGTGACATTATGGGCTATAACTAATAGTCTAATACTAAAATCAGGATGGGATACAAACTGAGGAAGATACCTACAAATCCCTACTTCTATACTAGCAATCAGGAGACCGAACAAAGAACTGGGGCCTCCGTAAATCGAACAAATAGCATCAGATTGAATAGGCAGGTATATGACCAACATCAGCCACTAATCATTACAAAATGGGATCCTAATCGTGTTTTATATTTTTCTCTATCATACAACAAAATCTGCTCAGAGATATGGTACTTCACATTAGTTCGAGGAAGCACCTCGCGGGACAAACCAATTTCGTCCTCCAAGAATTTTGAAGTGATGTTATTTATATAATTGTTTCAAAATAATTGTAATGTAATTCAGTTGTGTACTTTATTTAGTCATCAGCGCCTTCCTTGCAACCATCCCCCGGCACCAGTAGTTGCCAATCAGTATCAAACGAAGCGGTCAAGATCCTCAATCCAAATCCAAACCCTTTTTCATATATTCATAAACCATGTAAGTGATACTAGCAGATGGAACAACTTTGAGAAGGTTAGGAAAAATTCCTTTGTAGAATCCCCTAAATCCTTCGTGTTTAAAGGTTCTCTTAAACACATCTCCCATTCCCCCATATGCAGAATCACCTTTGGGGCGTTGAGCCTGCATTCTAGAATAACAGTCATGACGATAATAAAATGTCACTTTCAAAACAGATAAAAATAAATAAATAAAATCAAGAAACACTACATAAAAAATTACCTTGTTCTAACGACCTGCAATGGGTAAACACATGTGGCTCCAAGGGCTCCTGATGCTGTCCCACATCCAAGTTGCACGAGAGGACCAGCTTCTACAGAAGATCTCAGAATTTCAACAAACAAGATAGAACTAAAGGTGTGCATGTTGCACATGATATTGAAAGGTGCTTATTACCTTCATCATGAAGAATATACTTCTTCGACATCTCTTTCAAGGTTTCATAGGCAGCAAGATCTATTCCAGCATAAGGAATGATCCCAAGAAGAGAAGGAATCAAGCCCCTATAGAATGCCCTGGGTCCTTCATGTACCCATATTTCTTTTGAGAGCGTCCCAAGGGTGGGAACTCTTCCACCACTACAACAATATGTTTGTATTCGAGTTTTGACAAGATCCATTGGATATATAGCAGTTTGAGCTACCGCACCAGCAATACCACCAGCCAACAGCCGGCCCATGGTGCCAATACCTTCCTTAGTTTCCTCTCCTTTAGCATTCACGATGAAGGTCTTCAGCATCTCATAGGTGTAAAATCTTATAGCACTCTCAGGGGTCACCTTAAGGACATTCAAGCCATTGCCTCGAAAAAATCCCAAGAAACCACCATCTCTCAATATATTTTTCAATGCAGGCATTATACGAGCTTCTGTTGTTTGGACTTGTAAAATAACCTTTAAACGATCAAGAGGTGCAGTTGCTGTTCGTGATGCTGCACCTGCTACTCCTCCTGCAATCAAATATCTACTTGCATGGATGTGCTTACTAATGCCTGCAGGAATAACGGAGTGCTCGCCAATATCCACCAGGCACACACGTTCCAAATAATGATAAATGTTTTCAATAGTCGCCTCATGAGGATAGAGCAGCAGAAAGTCCCTCCATTCTTCAAATGTTATGACACCATTATTATCCTTATCAACACGCTCAACAAAACGGGCAAGTTCTTCATCATCAATCTGAATACCTACAACGTAAAGGCCGGTGTGGCTTAAATAATAAAAAAACCACCAAAGTATATGACAAAGTCAAGAAAAAGCTAAATCGCATAACAAGAATCCACTACAAAAATCAGGGTCCCTGATACAATGAATCATCATCAATGTAGTTAGTCCCTTATGAGTTGAGAAGCGTTGTTAACAGAGTAGCGGGGAATATGTGAGAGGAATGATAATGAACTTCAGTCATATCTTGGTATATCAAATTGATGAGCTCAACAGGCTGAGGCAAGAGGATTCGATTCTAGAATTTCGGGAGAAGATTGAAGAATTGCAGAATTGCTAGCTGAAGTAGAAATCTCGGATGTAGTTGCCATGCTCTGCTTCTCAGGAGGTTTGAAACGAAAATTGAAGCACCCGCAAGAATGTTCAATCACTAAAACCTCACCAATATCATGAACTAAGCGAGGCTACCAGAAGTATCCTCTCAAAACAAGCAAAACAAAACCAAAACACTTATCCAACAAAGAAATCCTCCCTGCACACACCAGATTTGATCCCAAAAAACATGTATCCATCATCACTGACCAGTACTTCCAATAAATTTCTAAAAACTCCATTCCCAAAATAAAAGTACCTTGACCAATATCCCAAAAACTAACCATACAACTCCAAAACTAACTCAACTTAAACTGTTCAACAATTGACCAAAAAAGGAGATGGAAGAGAAAAGGAAAAAAGGATTGCATAAATGGTGCCTGAGAAATACACCGAAAACCACGGATGCAAGGGTGCTCAGCTTCTAATGATCGTGGTCCAAGGAGCAGAAGAGGAGAAGGAAGTTTTTCAGGAACCTAAATGCCTTCCATCTTCTCAGGATTTTGATCATTCAATCCCTTCAAGAGTATGGTCCACTTTAAGCTAATGCTATGCAGAAACTAGCTGAGGGAAGTGAACAAGAAGCAAAGAGGCCTGGTTGCAGTTCATTTGCTTCCCCAGTTATGTTAACTAAGAAGAGGAATGGCTTTGACGAAGCCTACTGAGGTTCACAAAACAGCCTTTTGCATTCATGAGGGGTTATATGAATTCTTATTAATGCCATCCAGCCGTACCAATACAGCTACCTTCCAACTCCAAGAACTAATGAACACAACGTCCAAATCCCACTCAAGGAAGTTTATCTTAGTCCTTTTTCAACGACATTTAGTGTATAACAAGAGTTAGAGTAAGGATACCATCCATTAGAGGGACACATTAGGAATTCTAAGGAAAAACACATTAGTCGCTATGTGGTCTTAGCATGCATTTTCAGCTGTTGAAAATGACTATTTGGGTCTTGAAAGGTCCAATAAACCTGCTCTAGGTAAATTAGCAGAAAGATCCGGATTGCCTTTGGAAGATTTTAAAACAAACTGAGCAGCAGGCCTACAGATAAAAACTGATTGAGCAGAGCAAACCAGCTTTCCATGTTCAACGTTGAAGCACAAGGATGAGAATGCTCCTAGTTCTACACACTACAGACCAACCAAACTTGGATGATGAGGGGATTTTCAAGTGGGACCAGAGAAGATTTTGGCTAGAAAGAAGGTCAAATGAGGCAATTTACCAGTTACTTGAGTCCTGATGGAATGGAAAAACACAAGTGTGGAAGACACTGCATAGGAAGACCTGATCACTATCCAGAAGCAACTCCCTAGGTTAGATACTAGAGGCACTGAAATATGATCCTTGAGGTCAAGGATCTTTTATAGTGGGAGAATAATTGTTACATGTCCAAGAGAAAATTATCCAGAGTAGTTAATCAACAGCTGTTAATGCACTAACTCAGAAGTTTAGTACTGTAATAAATTGTAATCAATTCCCTTACACTCTGAGCTAGTATACAAGTACTATAGCTGACAAAAAGGAGAGGATGTTGAATCTCTGAATGATTTAGCTGGGAATTTAGGATCAGCTTAAGCTAGCTGTAGAGCAAGTGTCAAAGATTATGAGAATCTATAAGAAGGATAACTGGTTAGTATTATGCAATAAAGTAAGAGAATTAATAAAATTTAAACAGCTTTTCACTTTCCTTTCTCATTCAATTTCCATAGTTTAACCAGAGCCTTGATATGAAAGGAACTTTATGAATAAATATTCATCAGGAAGAAATATGCCAAAATTGTCATTCATAACACTACATCAGTGCATGTAATTCTGGCTTCTCCGAATTTCACGCATAAGAGTACTGCTCAGTCTACTGTGAATATTTTCCTTTAATGATCAAGGAGGGAAGGATATATACAACACAGTCAAATCTCTACGCTCTAAATCATAGACGTGGAACTTGAGAGGACATTTGATGTTTGGTTACCGCTGAAAATCCAGAGAGAGATTAAATGCACCATGCTTATACATCTTTAACCAGTCAAACCATAAAAGCCAAAGTTTTGGTGATTCAAGTATCTGAATTCAAATTCATTGTCCCAGCCTACCCAAACCTGAGGTTTCATATCGTTAGATCTCAAACAAATATAGGAATTAAAACCAGGAAACCAAAATATCAAAGTATATAAGAATTAAACCATCAATAAAAGAAAGCATAGGTCCTTATTTACCAGAAATTGGTAGAAAAGCCTATAAGATGTCTAAAGCTATAAACTAAAGTATGGGCCAACACTTTAGAACATGAAGGAGGTCATTGGTTTACCTGCCCTTACAAGTGCCTCCCAGAGCTCCTCAGGTAAAATACATCCGTTGTGTTCAACATCAATGGCTTGAAATATGCGGTAAAGCTCAAGCTCCTTGTCATCCATGTACTTTTTAAAATCTTGATAATCAACTCGCCCGTCTTTATCAGCATCACAGGCATTTAACAAATCCTTGGCATACTTATACTCAGATGGTATTTGAAGTGCAGAGAGGCCAGCCTCAATCTGGGCATAATCTAAATAGCCAGCATTTGTCCTATCAAAGAAACCAAAAAGACTACGAATCCTTAGCTCCCTTTCTTCCTTGGTCTCCTGGGATGCCATTAGGACATGATCCATTGTTACAGGTCCTGCCTTCTTAACAGGATTGCAACATTTTGATCTAGATTCCTCAACATTCTTCGATTTCGCTCCCATTGAGATGGAAGCTACAATAACCGCACTTGGTTCCAGCACGCAAACTCTCCTTCTGTATGCCACACTCAGTGATCGTATTCCCAGAAGATGGCCATTCAAGAAATGTGGCTAGGGAAAGAGCACAATAAATTTCTTCTCAGTCAACAATCACGGAGATGCTGCGCCATTTACTACCCAGCCAATTTTAGAAGGGAATCTATCAGATTCCCGTTCAAGGGAAGGTAAAGCAAATGTGATTAAGAAAATCAAGGCCGAATCAACTCAGGCATTCATTGCAGGCATTAGTACTTTACAACCACCATTAATTACCATCATAGATCGAATAAGTCTGCTCTTAAAGGCTGGCAGAACTGAGAGCTTGATTTTCGTAAAAGGAAATCGGAATTCAAACAGGAGCGGAATCAATCGACTAGGAATGG